GAGCAGGAAACATGGAAGGAAACAAACATCCTGATGAGCTAAAGCTGCACGTGCTGTGCGACCTCTGACACCGTTCGTCTCTGCGCTCTTAAAAAGTGCCTGAAGCACAGCGACCTTTGACCTCCATGTTTGCCGCATTTACAGATGCCGGGTCTATGCCGAGGCTCCGCCCCACGTCAGCACAAGCCCTCGCTGGGTCCAGACCTGCTGCCGGGCCACACCTGCGTGCGGAGGGCGCGCCGGCAGCCGGAGGTCAGGTGACTCCCAGCCCTGCAGCGATTAGTCAAAGTACGGAGCAGCTGCTGCTCCAACATGCCTGTCGCAGCGGTTCCAGTCACACGGTCTACGGTGAGCCAATCATATTCAAGCATCCAAAACGAGAGATGAGCGATGGGTTCTCACAGAGCTGCAGGTATCTGCAGTCAGCTGATGGCGAACGTGATGGCGAGCTGCAAGCTGACCCGGTTACCGAAGCCGACCTGGCTCATGTTGGTGATGACTCCAGAGCGAGCTCCTGAGGATGAGGATGCTCTTCCTCACTGCTGGATCTTATATGAAGGAAGATGGACTTCCTGTTTCATTCAGAGCTGACATCACCTCTCAGTGAAGCAGCTGACAACGCCACAGTGACGCCACAGTGACGCCACAGTGCACGCGTCTGTGACGCCACAGTGACGCCACAGTGACCGCGTCTGTGACTGTCAGCACGTGTCACGGCGTCGCAGCGCTGCTCCCTCTCTGCTGGAAACTTCCAGCACAAACAGATTTGTGTTGCCTCTTCCTGATCTGCCCTGGAGCTGCAGCAGTTTGCCCTTCAGCCTCCACTGCAGGCCCAATCAGGCTTCAGCTGGCCCGCCCCGGACCCGCCCCCCACCACCTCAGGCTGTAGCCTGCTCTGAATGCACGCCTGCAGACGCCGTGTTTCACCAACAGGAAGCACAAACGCTCCCTTTCATTGGGCTTTGATCGCCTTCAGGCTCAGTTTGAACTGTTTTCTAACAGTGGGGCATTCGTGAGAACACCTGAGCAGGTGTGACGGCACAAACGCAGACGCTCCCAGCACCAACCACAGCTGCTCCGACACGCCTCGGTGCGACAAATGCGACCTCTGTCCCTCAGCGGGCCGTCTAAGCTTGTACCATTAACACTGATGGCGTGTGACCTCACGCTCAGCCGGGGCTCAGGTAAAGGTTCCATCTACACCGACGCCCCGCGGGCTCGTGAACGCCCC